AATCAAATTGTGTTAGTTCAATCCATTTTTAAATGTTGAAGTGAACTACTCATTTTTAAATCAACTGTGAAACAGTAATAACAATTTTTAATCCTCATTCAAAGTGGAAATCAAGTTGGAATATGTTACAGAGTAATGATTCAATTTCTTGATCGTCTGTTTGAAATGAGCAAGTTGTGTAAGTTGGTCAAAGTTCAAGTTTCGGTCAACTGCAAGTTTACTGAAAAAGAAATGTCATGTTTAACTTTTACAGCAAGATACTAGAGAATTGACTCCACGAAGTCTGAGTTCTTCATAATATCTTCTGTCTGTTCTTAAACAATCTTAATCTTTTTCCTTGACTTTTTAACAACACCTTACATCACAAAAACACACCTCTGTTGGTCCATCGACCAATCAGAAAGTCCTCAAATGAACCGGAAGTGACCTTTTTTAAAAGGTGCAGCACTTCCTAGTTCACAGCAGTTCCAGAGTTCAGAAGGCTGGAATTCAGGATGCTGGAGGAAGAAAAATCAAGCTGAACGAGAGAAGATCAGGGAATTATGAAATGTCTGTTCTGGATGATCTCACGACTCCCGAGGTTTAGCTGTTCTTACGGAGACGCTGAAAGAGTTGAAAGGAAAGCTCTACACCAACGCTGAAACTATCATCTGCAAAGGTAAAGAGTGGATCTCAACCAAAGTGTACCGTTGGGTCAAGCTGGTCTACAAGGAGCGTGCTGTTTCTGGTTATAACAGACAAATTCCCTCCCCATCTCTCTCAACTTAAACTTCATTTCCCATCTTTAAAATTCTTCTATCTGCTAGCAAGTCATTCCAGATATTTTTCAGAAATGTCTGTGTGAAGCTGGAAGCAAGGTTTTCAACCATCGCCGTATGGTCTTCCTTGTAAAACTTGCTAAATTAACCATGTTGTTGTTGAAATCATTTTGCCAAATTAATGTAAATGTGTGATGTGTTTAAATCGTTTTAAATAAATGACCCACTGTCGTTGGTGAGTCAAAGATAAACACGTTTCCGTCCACATTTTATTAAATTCAATGCACGTACATTATACAGTCCAGAAAAATGAAAGAATCCGTTTAATTTATGAATATATATCAGCATATGTTCATCTACACACGTGAACCTCGTCTGTGGGCGTCACCAGCACCATAGACATACATTATACATAGATTAGGTACAGCAGCTCTATACAGCTCTGGGTGTAAACACATAATCTGTTTGTCATACGTCTGGTGTTTTACCTGCCTGCATGCTGAAACCATGTGACACCATACAACCAATACCGAAACTTGACACCGAAAAAGAGGTAACTATGCATTAACTATGCATTTGAGGAAACTATGCATTCTAGATTTGATATTGCATTATAGTTTACTCAAATGATTAGGGTGGTTAAAGATTACTTTATGGGGGCCGAGGCCACCATTGGCCACACCTTGACTCCTCCATTGCTCCTGGTGGTGGATAAAATTGCTCCTTCCACTTGCCAGAATCCATCATTCTTTGATGCCTCAGACAAGCACAACCCCACCCCCAGCATCGGTGTTTTTTTAAATTTAGCAGCAGCAGGTGCACGTTTTAAAAATAATTAGGCCCGAGCAGCGAAGCGCTACTAAGGCCTATTGTAATGGTTCAGTTCATTAGGCCCGAGCAATTTTTCCGTCAAATGAATTGGCCTTTTGGGGTCTTAATATATCCCAAAACTCACCAAATTTGGCGGACACATCAGGATTGCTAAAAAAATTACGTATTTTAAGGGCGTTGCAAAAATCACAACAGAAACGGCTCAAGAGCGCCACCTGGAAATTTTCAAAATACCCTTCGCATTAACCTTAGTTCGTCATAGAAGCATGAAATTTGGTACGCTTTTCCAATTCCCCAAGATGCACAGAAAACCATCTGGCGCCAATGTTGTACAATAAACAGGAAGGCGGACATTTTGGAATGCTGTCCCAAATTTCACACCTTTTTGGCAGTTTACAACCTCCGCATTCAAACGAACTCGTCCTAGGGATTTTGCTCAATCGGTTTCAAACTTGGCCATTTTGGTCAAAAGGCACAGTGGACAAAAAGTTATCTAAACAGTTAGTTTCGGAGCATGCTGAAGGGGTGGGGCCAGACCTCAAAGTTTTACATCTTGCCAGGAAAAAAGAAACTCTAATAGCTCCTACACGAAAACTGTCTGAGACATCAAACCTTCAATGATTGATCCACATCCGGTCCCCTGCAAGACTGAATGGCCAAATCATGACATCACTTAAGCCACGCCTCCTGACAACAGGAAGTGTAAAGTTTTACGTTGAATGGTCCCTATCTGACCCCTGTTACCTGATCAGCATGATAGTGTCCAGTGACCGAAGGCATGTTGGTGTAACTTGCTTTCCAACACTGACAGTTTTGGGTGGAGCATGTGGGCGGTGCGGCGAAGTAAGACGTAACGCCGTCACCATACATTTGGGTCTAAATTCCACAGATATGAGCTGAAGTGCACCAAATTTGGCATGACTCATCCCTGTTGGATGCCTGACAATCCACTGTTGTCATATTCTGAAGTCATCAAAGCCCCACCACCTCAGAACAGGAAGTCACTTTTTTTACTTGGAAAGCTCTCTCTCTCTGGCACCCTTGAACTAATCAGGGTGATCCTGTGTTAGAAGACATTTAACAAGTTGATCTGACTTGCTTTAAAGCGCAAACCATTATAACTGGAGGATGTGGGTGTGGCAGCATGGCAAATTAAGAAGTGACGCTGTTGCAATATGTTTGGCTTTAAATTGCACAGATTTGAGCCGAGGTGTACCAAAATCACTATGATTGATCATTATCCACCCCTTGAACAGGAATCCATGAGAAGTGGCCAATAGCCTCGACAGCGCCCCCTAGATTATTCTAACAGTTAGATCAGTGATACGTCATCCGATCTGCACCAGATTTATTGTGCATCATCAGTAAGCACTTATAGACGCATTGTTATTGTGGTTAGACATATGACTCCAAATAGCCTCCACAGCGCCCCCTAGAATATTTTAAAACTTAAGCCTCAAGCCAATTTATGACCGATAATTCTGAAACTCTGTGAACATCTGTATCTTCTCAGGACCTATGAAAATGTCTCTTGGAGCCATGGTCCACACTCAACAGGAAGTCGGCCATTTTGGGTCAAAGAGTCATTTTTGGGCGTTTCTAATTGCGAGTTTTAACAACCTCCTCCTAGGGATTTGGAAGGGTTGCCTTCAAACGTGATTAATAGGCCCTTAAAACATTGGGGAGTAAAAGTTATCAAAAGCTTGTGTTTTCGTATACGTTAAAGGGGCGTGGCCAGGCCTCAATGTTATGCTTCACGCCGTTAATTTCCAAACGCTATAACTTTCACACTGAAAGAACAAAATGCACCAAACTTGGCATGACTCATCCCTGTTGGATGCCCGGCATTCCTCTATGGTCATATTTGGACGTGATCAAAGTCCCGCCCCCTCAGAACAGGAAGTCAATTTTTTTACTTCCCTCTTTGACACCCTGGACCTAATCAGGATGATCCTGTGTTAGAAGACATATAACAAGTTGGTCTGACTTGATTTAAATTACAAAGAGTTTTAGATGGAGGATGTAGGCGGGGTGGCGTGACAAATTCAGAAGTGACGCAGTTGCAATACGTTTGGCTCTAAATTGAAAAGATTTGAGCTGAGGTGCACAAAAATCACTATGATCGATCATTATCCACCCCTTGAACAGGAATCCATAATAGGTGGCCAACAGCCTCCACAGCGCCCCATACATTATTCTTACAGTTATATCTCAATGATACATTATCCAATCTAAACCTGATTTATTGTTCGTCATCAGTGAGCACTTCTATATATATTGGTGTTCTTTAACGTTTGACTCGAGTGCGCCACCTAGATTATTCCAAAAGTTTTATCTCAGTGATACATCATCCGATCTGAACCAGATTTTTTTTGCTTAATCAGTGAGCACTTATATACACATCGGTAATGTTCTTTAACTTTTTACTCCAGTGCACCCTCTAGATTATTCCAACAGTTATATCTCATTGAAATATCATCCAATATGTACCAGATTTTTTGTGCATGATCAATGAGCACTTATAGACAGATTGGTTTTGTTGTTTAACTTTTGACTCCAGTGTGTCCCCTAGAATATTCAAACAGTTATATCTCAGTGATGCATCATCTTATCTGCACCTGATTTTTTTTTTTTTTTTTTTGCTTGATCAGTGAGCACTTCGAGACACATTGGTATTGTTGATTCATGACATCACTTAAGCACCACCCATTCAGAGAAGAAACTGTAAATTATTGGGTGACTCTTCCAGCTTAGCCCTGTGTAAGATGTGACTGAAACTGTCAGTGTTGTTTACCACATGACATGTTGAAAAGCCTAAAGAAAGTGATTGTCAAACATTCACTAAAAACAGGAAGTCCCAATTACTCCTGTCTGGAAGGTCGGATTTCATGCATACTTGTAAGACCTGGAGCTGGACTAGTACTGACATGAACAGAAGGCGATGTAAAAGATTCAGGAAATGTACCTCGTGGTGAACATGTGTGGGATTGGCACGAGAGCGTTCGCGATGGTGACTGGGTGGAGTGGCTGGAGCACATGCGGTCGCCGTATGGCCAGAGCGGCGCTTTGCTGCGAGGGCCTTCAATGCTGCTTGCAGCTTTAATTTTATTTACTTTTGTTCATTGTGAAGATATTTGGTGCAAATTTGCTTCAAGTATAACTGATGGAATTAAAAAATAGTCCTTTATATGTGCAAAATATACTCTAAAGATTTTATTTACTTTTAGTTTCTGACGTGAGGCCAAATTGAACCTTCAGCAAACTGAAAGACACATCTAGGTGTGTCTTCAAAACTTCAATGAGAAAAAGAAAATCTAAAATAATTTAAATTTCTAAATGCTTAAGGCTAGTTGTGTGTGATAAATGTTTGCAATGCATTTCTAATTTTAAAAGTTCAAATGTCGTCCTCAGTTTTCGACAAGCACTACATCAACCGTAACTTTGACCGCACCGGCCAGATGTCAGTGGTTATTACACCTGGAGTAGGAGTGTTTGAAGTCGACCGCCTGCTGATGATCCTCACCAAACAGCGAATGATTGACAATGGTCAGTGAGTGGATGATTTCATCTTTTTAGATAAACAGATAATGTGAGAAGCTGATGACTCACACTTGTATGCCCCGTATAGGCATTGGTGTAGACTTGGTGTGTATGGGGGAGCAGCCGTTGCATGCTGTACCGTTGTTTAAGGTAACTCAGATCATCTCCCACTGTTCATGGATTCGATCACATGCATTATCCTGTGTCACATGAGTTATGGACTGTTTTTTTCTTTTTTAGCTGCATAACAAGATGACACCTGGAGATTCACGTGTGGGAGACGACTACAACCTTCCACACTGGATCAACCATAGGCAAGAGAACCTGACTAATGAGAATACAGAGCAGTCCAACATGACAGCTGAAACTAGAGCAGCAGCATCTTTGCTGAAAATGTCAACACTGGCAACATGTCAACATGTCAACTGAAGGACTTTGTGGAAGAAGCTGAATCTAGTTGTTAAACATGGCAAAGTTTAAAGCTAAAAAGAATAAAACATTTGCTACAAATTAAAAGGAACAAATCACAAGCTAAAAGCTGAAAGTAGTAAAAAGGCAAGTTAAAAACTAAATGAAGCATTGAAGTGTATCAACCAGTTTGAAAAGTCTGAAAAGAAATCCAGGAAGTGGTTACAAGAAGAAGTTAATAGATTGCCTGAAAATTTTGGAGCAGGACAAGGCTATTGACCGTATTCTGTACCACAGACTGTACCCAGGGGAGGCCACACCTAGTCTGTAT